AGTGGCGACTTGAATACGTATGTGACTTATACGATGACTCGAATTGGCCAGCCTATGTGCAAGTCAGTGTTTCTACTCTCTTAGACAAGTCTGTTACCAATAGCTGATCCCGGAGGGATGTCAGGCTTGGTTGGCTAGGCGGATATCGATCCGGGTTTCGAACCCAGGGCCATGAACGTGAGATGGTGCACCACTCGTTATATACCACCACCTTGTACGCGATTCGAAAAATAGCCTTCACTATTATTAGTATCAAGTATTCTCGGATTGGAAAGTAGGAATGGAGACTGTATTTATCACTGTATACCTACAGTAAACAAAAGAGTCGAGTTTTAAGGGTAGGGTACCCAATATCAAGATTAGCACTTCACTCTTGATGGTTGAGCAACAGGATAGACCGTTGGATCCGATCCACGTATGTAGTTGAAGCTCTAGAAAATCTAGCTATCTATTAATCTAGTTTTGATCTGGACATTTTTGAAAAAGTAACAAAGTGGTAAGTATTGCATTCGTGATTTGTACTGCTTTGCTAACGGAGCTAAACGGTAATCGAACATTTCTCGATAAGCTCTGCCTGAAAAGTTAAAAATGAAGGGCAAAAAATTTATCAGCGGGTCCTACCAGTCCTTCTCCGAAAACCCATCATCAGGGCAAAATACTGATTTTTCGAACCAACGTTCTCTTCTCAACAATTGTTTTTAACTCTTTCGAAATGAAATTAATCTCCTTAGGAATGCTCGGGCTCAATGGTGGTGTGGGAATGATCCTATGGCCGTATCGGCAGTAACTTTTTCTCACCAAACTCAGTCCCCCCGCTAGGAATGACTGATGGGCTTACTCATTTTGTATGTTCACTCGTGTGTAAAGGCGCAGTTCACGATAACTCTGAGTTACCCGTTTTTATTCGAGCAGTGGAAGTATAGATTGGGAGTCTTTCATCGGTAGTGAAAAAAGCGAGAGAATTCGCCGATTTCGAGAAAAATATGGCTCCTCGAAAATAAGGAAAATAGAGGTCGGACGAGATTGCCATGACCGAAATAAAATAAAAGGGGTGCTCGGACGAGTTTACAGTAATTGCGCAAAAGCTGACTACATCAAGCCAAATTTGTACAGAACTGTCTTTCGCTGCCGCTATGGGTCATGACAAGTTGTTTGGACTTCCTATATGGGTTCCCTTGTGATCGGTGCAGTTTCTGTTATGCCGGTGAAACTCGTCCGAGGATACACACGGATCAGTCTTTGAGCCTTTCTAACTCCCTAACAAGGCCGCTTTCCGACCCAATAGTGCCAGGTATGGTATACGCGCGGACCTCAGATTCATCCTGTGGGGGAATCTCAGAAATCATTTTTATCGTGAACTGTGCCTCTATCATTTTCAAGCATGAACCAATTCACTGCTAAAAAGAGCTATGAGCTGCAACAACCTGAATCGTTACCAAAACCATACGTTCCTACTCTACTGTGATATCGTTGACAACTTCTACCCTGTATTAGAAGATACTATTATGGATTCCGGGTCTTCCAAAATCAGCACAGCAACGCTGTTTCTCTCCATCATCGAATTGCATACCTGCTACACATTCATTTCCATATTAAATAGGATTTCGTTTTTCACTAAAGCTACAAGTCGAAAGTGGTTACGTAAAGGCTTCTGAAAACTATGATTTACATAAATCCGCTTGAAACCTGAAACAATCTTGCTTGAGCTGTATCACTTTTCTAAAGGTGAAAAAATACATATCGACTAGAGAGAGAAGTAAGGAGAGTGAGATGGAGCAGGGGAGATGCGGGAGGGAAAAGAGAGGGAAAAAGGGAAAGAGGGAGAGAGGGAAAGAGGGAGAGAGAGAAAGAGGGAGAGAGAGGGAGATGGAGTGGAAGGAGTGTGATGGAAAAGAGAGAGAGAAAGAAAAAGGCAGACACGTTTTCAAAGACACGTCACTTTTGCTAAATCATGGTACTTAACAAGGATTTGAATGAAAATCCCTTTTTTGCGAATCGTCTTACAGAGAAAAAGAAGAGAAAAGGTGGAATTCGAACGAAAAATGCTATGCTCGTGCGACGTAAAAAAAGCATTTGATCAGCTATATCCCATTCAATCGGAATCACCCTTGCGAATTCCCATTCAGAAGGAGCCTTAGAAAACGGATCTTTTTTGAAACCTGATTGAGAGAGCCTTCATCCTAGAGAGAATGTGAAAGGCCAATGGCTTTTAAATCAAAAATTGTGTCACTTCAATATATCGGCATCTTTATCGACTTATATGTGAGATGAGATGATGAACTGAACTTGAACAGAAAAACATTTCGCTCACACCTTTTTGAGCGATCGTTTTTCAGGATCCGTTGGAAGGACATGAAGGAAAACACCGCAGCTTAATGTTTCGGGCATATTTCACTATTTGAAAGCTCTACAAAAGGGAATGCTCAAAAATGCGGTCCTGATGTTATTTTAGTTGTGCACTTTAGTTGTGATTTCAACTTGTCATATATCTTGTGCAACATTATGATAAATCAATAAACAAACAAAGGCATTGTTTGATATTCTGGAGGTGGAATATGAAATGCAATACTGTTCAGTTGACATGATGGCTCTATGGATCTTCCGCTAATGCTCTATGGATCTCCCTAATGCTTCCTTCGAATACGACTAAGTTACACTTGAGTTTTCAACTTTGAGGGCAAAGTAAAGTTGGAAGTCAACGGTAACCTCAGTTCCTTATGGCTTTCTTTCCGAGACTTCTGAACATTTTTGAGCTGCGCCGCGTATTCTAGTTACATCCAGAATCGCAGTGACGTTTGAAGGTGTTTACCCTATAGAATGACTTATGGTATCCAGTACATGTACATTTCAGTTTTGCATCTTCATAGACGAGTCTAATTCCAGTCAATCGAGTCTGGAGGGTTGTAAAGCTTAGTTGTGGGATACCATGTGGTGTCGTGGGGTCGAACCTTTTGGTAATGAGCCACTAGGCACTGCATCACAAAGGCAACCCAAATATATCGGTTTGGTCATAGTCATACCGAAGTAGTGAAGTAAAGTTTCGCATGTAAACCGCAAGCGATGCTGAGATGTGGCTAGTGAGAAGAGCTCAAAGTGCACGGAGTGATTTCACAAAGGTGAATAGTCTAAAAAATTTGACAGCAAATTTTTCAGATTGCATCTCTAAAAGCATTCAGGCTTCCTGATCCGGAAGTTCTCCTACACACTTATTGGATCAGTCTCTGAGAAGTTCGAAGAAACTGAAGAGTAAATACAGCATGGGGAGGCTTTGCAACTTTGTGACCGTTTAGTCTGAATCGTACAGTTCGTGACAGTATATGCTTCTGGGTGAACCACCTACCTGATCCACCCCAGCTAGTTCTATAGGGAAAATCAAGTGCGCTGGTGTGTTTTCTATTGTTTGCGCTCGCAACACCACGAAATCAGGTCGTAGTTTTATCACCGCTAATGGGCGAAAACGTAGCGGTCGAGAACGATGTCAAGTGAAAGTCGGACATGGGCGCCGTGTTGAGCTGTTCATAGCATTGGCTTGGTAGTTGAAAACTGAGAAGTAGTTTGGCTGGCAAATCCCCGATCGGTTGTTCTATTCGACATTCTAGAAGGAATGGTACGTGGGATAAAGGAAACTGATGTAAGGGGTAGGTAGAGCTAGTTCTCAGGATTAGTTCGAGTGAAGGTTCTAACGATTTCAAGGCCAGCCTTTCATTATTTTGTATGGACCATTGCTTTGCATATCCTTCCCAACTCTTCCCCTCTGAAGGGGAAGGCTAACTCTCGGCTTCTGTGCTTTGTCATTAGCCGGTAAAGGAATTTGAGCATAAAGAACCCCTAGTTGCCTTTGGTCCGAAATGCACATGTATTTTGTGCATCACCTCCGGCAAAAAGATCATCTAGGTTGTAAATGTATAAATGTAATAGAAAATATCGAAGGAATTAGCGTTGGGCTGATATTAATCCGGCTGAACGGATGTCCTGGCGAAGGAGTAGAAGTCAGACTCCAAAAGCAGCATTAGACACTGGTTCCGCAGTCAAACTTCCAAAAAGGTAATAGGACAGTGAGAGATTTCATATGTGGCCAATGGCCTAATCACCACTAGGAAACCCCGCCCCTGCAGGAATGACCGCCCTCTTTTCGTTAGTGGAGCGAAAAGCATTGCAACAAAGCATAATAATACTGAAGGCACGTTGGTGACAGTGAATCTGACGGGTAAAAACCGGTAAGGACATTATTTAAGAGAAATTAACGCGTGAAAACGGGACTGGGTATCCGGTTCCTGCCACATTCCCAGGTAGCAAGAACTGGCAGTTCCTGTATGGGAAGTTCGTTGGTTCATATAGGCTTTTTTTCTACTTTTTTTTCTTCTACCTACTTTTTGAACCTTTGTACAAAAGCTCTTTCTTTCTTGAGTGTAATTTCACCTACATTCCACGTAAGGTCAGTCGCCTGAGTTCTCAGTAGCCCTGAAAACTGTAAGTGTACTGTGGGACCTACCTTCTTTGCATACGTCCGCCGCCTTCCAGTGATATTTATACTTCAATGCTTCTCCTAGAAGAAGGACAATGCATGCCGTACTTGGAATTACAGACCGAACAAACCAGTTGTTTATCTCCAGAACTTAAGGCTCTGATTTGTTCTCGTATTGGCGTCCTAAAAGCTGGACGTTATGCATATCTCAAATCGAGTTGCGAATTAGGGAATGACAACGGACGAACGCTGCAAATAAGTATAGCGCATATGGGTAGTCGAATCTCACCATTTTCCCTTCCTCTGCCATGAACATCCCATAGAAAGTCCTGTTATTTTCTCGATAGCACAAAAAAGGAAATAATAATGCCTTTAGCAAAACTTTTTGTACTCCAGGGCGAATTGTGCGCTCCATCGTCAATTATGGAGTGCGTCCTTTAAAAATGTGCTGTGCGCACTGTGCATTCGTGGTCAATTCTCTCTTAAAGGTACCTGGTTCTCACAAAGGCTGATCAAGAAAAGCTAGATCTGTCAAATGGCAGCCAATCATGCCCATATTCATCCGCCGCCGCCGCAGCAAAATGAAGGATACGTTAAAATCGCCTCGTTAGTACCACAAATGAATTCTATCAACACGTTTGGAATTGTTCTGGAAAATCGTGAGTTACTTTGTACTAGTTGCTCTTAGGGACATAAGATTGCTACACTTCATTGGTTACCTTCCTTACCCTTTAATCGTTATACGAGACGCATATTAGGGTGAAGTAGTGGAGGTGGGTCGTGTAGATGTAGGTCTATTGATAGTATTGGATCGATAATGACTAGTTCTTACTTACTAAAACTTGTGTTTCGAATTGCAGGGTTCGTTCTGTGCATGTTTTAATACCTTCTGACGTTTTTCAGATCCTGCCCGTCGATTAGCCAACGGTAATTTGGTGTTGAGCATGCGAATCGCCGACCCATCAGGATCTATAATCTTCACCATAATGAACGCTGAAGCTCAAGACTTGTTCGAACCAGGTGACATACTCAAAATCAAAAATGGCTTCACAAACGTGCATCGGGTAAGCCCTTCTTCTTATGTGCATCTCTCCATTACATATCCCACCTAGTTTTTACCTAAATCGGGCTAATTTCGTGTTTTTTTT